CCCGTTATTGCGAACAAATATCATCGGTCCCTTGATGTTCGTCCTAAAGAGGTTTGACTGTACTGCAAGATAATGTGTACTATAACCGTCCCGGCAGTCGTTTCACTCTTTGCCACAACCCATCACAGAGTTACCCTAGCTCCTGAGTGATATTCAGAGGATTGTCATTGCCCAGTGCGCAATAGGGGTGGATACCGAATATTGGAAAGAGGCATTCAACTTTTCATCAACCACCACGCCACAACTGCGCTCTTCAGCTGACATGCATTTTTTTAAGCAGTAAATTTCACGACCTTACCAGCAACACATGACTGCAAAGTTCTAGCACCTGGTAGGGTTAGGTGTCCGTTTATGGAAGATCCGACTAAGACATATTCTACTGTTGTCTGTAGTATCATCTAGATACTGGGGTTTGAAGATCTTTGAATTTAAAGATCTTTGAATTTGAAGATCTTTGAATTTGAAGATCTTTGAATTTGAAGATCTTTGAATTTGAAGATCTTTGAATTTGAAGATCTTTGCAGCACTAAATCCCTAGTACCGGGGTAAATGCTCATGGGCGTATGTGACGTTATCTCACACTCTGCTACATGTAAAGTAAAACCTGTCAAGGCAACCACTCGGATAAGGCGACCACCTGTCCTAGAAGACCACTGAAACCAGCACCAAGGAATGCTATTTCCAGTCAAATGACCCTGGATAAGGAGACCACCTGGTAACAGAGACCAGGTTTTGAAGGTCCCTTGAGCGGTGGTCGTCTTAGACAGGTTTCACTGTACATGTACTAGTATTGGTGTGGTAGTGGTTACCATGGTTACACTGCTGGTTACACATTGTGCTTTCTTGAATTGTGTCTGCTCTAGGGATGGTTTTCTTGCTGAGTTCCAAGGGTGTCGGATCAGCAAGTGTTGCTCAGCTGCATGTTGTCATCGGTAAGAGATTCGGAATGTTGCATGTTTCCATATCAACCTTGGTGCTGACCAGTAGCCATTAGCCGGGTGACCGTATACTGCATGTACTTGTACTTGTAAGAATGCTGAACACGTCCATCACTGGTGTACCACGTATGCAATGCAGAGCTCTTTCATGTAGACGGTGGCGGCCCAGTGGGAGCTAGGAAGACACCGCCCCATAGGTTCATGTGCCGTAGGCTATCGCCAGGAGACAACTGGGCTTTAGCTAGCGGTGCTGTCTTTGTTATGTGCATGCATCATGTTCCTTGCTGATGTGTTTTTGGGATAGTTCTGATCATGTGTGTGTGTGTGTGTGCGTGCGTGTTTTCTATACATTGACTGCATCCAGCATCACTCGGTTTCTTGCGTACAAGCTGTCGTTCGGTGGGATTTTCTTTGTGGCTCTCAGCAACCCTGAGGTGAGAGGTGTCCCCGAGTTGCATGATGCCGTATCGCTAATAAAATATCATGGAATGAAGTGCAGAATGGTGGCACTGTCCCCACCAAGATTACTGCATCCTGTGCAGACACATGTCCTCCTGATCTAGCAGAACAAAGGGTCCACTAGCACCCATCACTCATCAGTGGATATCAATTAGCCAGAGGGGGGCTACAAATATTCCTTTTTGTCTCTTACTGACCCAGCCATCAGGTGAACTCATTGTATCCTACATGTACCCCCATGGCTAGTCACTGCCACTGAGCTGTTTCCTTTCTGTGTGTAAGGCTGTACCTACTAACCACACTAGTTAAGCAATTACATTGGGTATGTTGGAAGCGGGTGTAGCCCGCAAAACGCACAGCGGTTCTTTTCACAGTTTTCAGCGATCTCTCAACCCCTGGAGAATGTAGCCTTTCTGCATTTTGTTTGCGTGTTGTTCTTTCGGCCATTTGTGCTAATTCGCTCTTCAGTACAAAATCCTTCCTTGTCAGCTGTATTCCCCAGTAGTGCTGAGTTTGTGACGTGATCTACCTGATGGCTTAGGAGTTTCAGGCCAATTATGCGAGGCAAGGTGTGAAGGAAATGTGGGAAAATTGATGTCAGGCACGAATGCAAACTCGGTTTTGTGCGTAGCATTTTTTGAGCCGAAATAATTACTGTTAGGATCAAATCTCCACTCCTTTGTGAAGTTGCAGTTTTAAGCCACTGTAAGTTATTGTACTGTGTGCGCGTGTGTGTGTGCGTGCGCGCGCGTGCGTTTATCTGTGCTGTTGTCTTGTAGGGCTTCATCCGCATCCTGGATCGTGTTGGCTCCATGGGCCTCAACCTAGAAATTGTGCTTTTTGTAATTCCGATGATTCGAGCCTCCTGGGGTTCGGCATTCAAGTAAGTCACCAGCGTGTTTGTTGCTGCAGGTACAACCTGGTTTCAAGGATCGGCCGGCAGGCGTGAGACAGGTCTATCATGGTCTTTCAATGCAGGTGGTCTTTGAAACCAGGTTGACCAAACATGTAGGGCCAAAGAATAGTGGTCTAGCAGACCAGGTGGTTGCTGAAAGCAGATGGTTGCTAAGGCTAGGTGGTTGCTGAAAGCAGCTGTGCTAAAAGCAGGAGGTTGCTAAAAGTAGGTAGGTGCTGAAAGCAGGTGGTTGCTAAAAGTAGTTGGATGCTGAAAGCAGGTGGGTGCTTAAAGTGACACGTTAGGTGATTGCTGTAACCTGACCAGCTGGTTACTGAAAGCAGGTGGCTGCTGGTGGTCTCTTCACCAGGTTCCCCTATAGCTGCTGCATGCAGAAACAAACAGTTGCCGGTAACCCATTTTTTATCCTGTTCCAATGCCACAATTCTTTGTGTTTGCGGCCATCGCTCAACCGCTTTGTTAAATTTACGACAATGCATGCGGTTTTGCAGAAACATGCCTGTAGTGGTGTCTCTGCGACGTTGGTTCTACTGGCTATAGTGCTGTTTGCTGTTGCTCACTGTGCAGAAACATGCCTGTAGTGGTGTCTCTGCGACGTTGGTTCTACTGGCTATAGTGCTGTTTGCTGTTGCTCACTGTGCAGAAACATGCCTGTAGTGGTGTCTCTGCCGCGTTGGTTCTACTGGCTATATGTACCTGTATTCCTGTACTCGCTGATGGCTGTCACCTACGACATTGCGTCAGTAGCTGCCGATCATCTCTACAGATAGCACACAGCCGTGCAGTGCTGCGTGTAGCTATTCTGCTTCTACCGGTGAGCATCCTGTCCTCGCTTCCAGTGTGCTAGGTGGTGTGTGTGTGTGTGTGTGTGTGTGTGTGTGTGTGTGTGTGTGTGTGTGTGTGTGTGTGTGTGTGTGTGTGTGTGTGTGTGTGCGTGTGTGTGTCCCATATGGTGCAGTGGTATGTGCAGTCGATTTCCAATCGAGAGGTTGCGGGTTCAATTCCCGACGATTGTGGTCGCACATGTCTTTCTTCTCTTTCGCGGACTCTTCCTGACTTTTCTTTCATTCTCCTGGGTGGTTACCAACAGCCAGTGTATGCCAGAGTATGTGGTGTGGTGTGTGTGTAGAAAAAAATAAAAAATGGAAAAATGAAAAAATAGGGATTCACTGGCCAGAAAAAGTCACTTCAAACAGCTGTGTGGTGGATACCAGGCTAAAAATAGTGGCGGTCAATTCATCAGCCTTGCAAGCTGTTGAATGGTGTAATCCCAGCACAAGTTGCTATGTCTAACATAGCTGTTCGCTATCATCGCTTCCGCGATGGGCATGTCTGAGGTGTGTGTGTGTGTGTGTGTGTGTGTGTGTGTGTGTGTGTGTGTGTGTGTGTGTGTATCTGAGTGTGTATGTACGAATGCATGTACGAGCTGTGTTTGGCCTCGGGGCATTGGCCAATGCATGTGCGTGCGTGTATTTTCTCTATGTACAGCACGTATGCTTTTGCATGCGTTTATTTCTGTGCTTATCGACACCTGTTTGTTTTGTGTGTTTGGCATGCACAGACATCTTTTGTTGAATGTGTCCACGTTTGTCGTTTTCAGCCATGGCCCACTCTTGACATTCTCAGGCTATAGAGAGTCATGGAGCGACAAGGCCATTCACCACCAACAGGCAGCAGCAGAGACGGCCTCGGTAAGCAACTGCTTGCTTGTAATTGTTGGTGCCCGGCTGTCCTTGCCGAGCGACAAGGCCCACGTCAAGCTCCATGCGACCTGCTGCAAGGTCTTCAGAGCTCAAGCTCCAAGCTTCCAGCTTCCCAAGGCAAGCGCATGGGCCACGGTCAGGGCAACTCATTCTTGAGAGGCATAAAAAACATGTGATATTTTCCGTTGAGAATTGTAATGTTGTAATTCGATTTTATGCTTCCCTTAGCAAACTACTTATTCAGATTTTACTCATATCGCACCCAACTTTTCTCAAGCTAGCACTAGTAGCTACTAGTATACTTATATATTTTTTTAGGGATATTGCATTTCTTTTCTACTTTGATGTAGCTGTTACCAATACTCTCCTTTCCCGGCATCTCGAGTGACATCTGCCTACCTGATTAAAACAAAGGTTAATGTTTCCGCAGGATCCGCCGCAGCAAGTCGTGGTCAGATGCTATAGCACACTGCCCGCGACTGAAATCAAATAATTCCTCTGAGTTCATTTTAGTCTGTGATAGTTTGATCTGATCCAAGTCCAGATCCATATGGCCACAGGATCCCCTCGAATGATCAATCGGTCAGATTTGGGTTTGAGCAACCTACCCCGGATCGCACAGGCCAGGGTTGACTGGATCCATCGGATTTTTTAGCCAAAACAATAAGACGTTTGTGCAGCCTTGGTTGATACAATGTCATGTAGTTTACCAGGCGTTAGGCCAGGTACCGGTACGTACTAGTACTAGTACTGTGACAAAATGTAATACTATGAATGATGATGACAGCACATTACCCCCCCCCCCCCCCCTAGAATGCAGAGGGTCTGAACCGGGGCACCACCCCATGCAGTTAATAGCATGGTCGCAAGACAAGGGACTCTACCAACCGGACTCTGGATGTGTGTCCACCGCCGCGCCGTGCGCCCTATGTCTGTGATGTGTGTATCCTCTTACTGTAAAAGCCATTATTCTAACCAGGGAGTAGTACAATACCCCTGATTCTAACGGGCCGCGGGGCGTACATAATGATTTCCTAAAATTGACTGGTTTACGTGTACCCAAGGTAACGATTCTCACTCATTCTCAACGCAAGAGTATTGTATCGATTTCTGTATAACGATTCGATTTCTTTGTACTTGTAGTGTCATAGATCTACTGACATGACACAACTGATTGACTGAGTCTGTGAATGACTGTCATAGACATAAGCTACAGTCCATTCATAAAAAGATGGGTCCTGGCTCTGGCGAGCTCCCGTATTTGGCGATTTTTCGTGATTTCATCGTACACAGTGCAGTGCTGCGAACTTTGACATTTGAAAAAGGGTCCAAAAGGGTGCCTGAACTGGGGTTCGAACCGCAGAATGCACTGTTGCAGGCGGGGTCAAACGGCCTGGATTTTGATGGTTTTTCCCAATTCAGTGCTTTTGGGGCAAAACCTGGCCGAAATCCTATTCTTGCTATGGCTTGCTTTTTGGACAAAAAAACTTCAGAAACATAATTGGAAGAGGATTCCGGGATTGCAGAAAAAATTCTAAAAAAACTCAACGTTTGACCCATTTATGGCCAAAAGCTAGTTCATTTTTTTCTGAATGGACTGTAGGCGATCTAGCCCAGGCCATGGGCCACGGCCCACGGCGCGGATCGCTCCGCAGGCCATGTGATCAGGTGATGCCTGACTCTGCGTGAGTCTGCACATCTCGCTTCCCAGGTGCGAGCCTGATGACATGATAATATTAATAATGATGTGCATGCAGTAAATCTGTACTGTGAAGCTATTGTAATACAGTAATCCTTCCTTGCTTCAAGACAAGTATAATGTATATGCCGTGTTCTAATGTAACACGTAACCATTGTTTGTCCAACTACTTGTCTTTACATACCGCCGGTAATGGTAGTACAGTACAAAATGTGCTACAACAAGTGACATCAAGTGCGAATCCGCATACAGTATCCGCGGTTCAGATACACAATCATGCGTGTGCGAGCACTGGGGAGATAACTCAGTCTCAGTGCAGTCCCGAAGAAAAGAAAAGGTCGTCTTTTCAGTGTCAGTTCGTGTACACTGTCCAACCTCCACTGCTCCAGTGCAGAGCTCCCTATATCCGCACCATTCCAAAGCAGTTGCAAGGCCGCCACGTGTCGTTCTTGTTTCTCCAGCTAGCTATCCCTAGGCCCTGTCAGCTAGCTGCTAGCTGCTAGCAAACAAAACTGCACTAGTAGATCTACTAGTACTGAGTACTGTGCGTTCGATGGTAGACCTTCACATGTAGTGGATCTACGAGGTCAGCTGCTGCACAGGTCTAGCTACGTCTATCCTCTCTCGACGCCATTTTCATCTCTTTTGCAAGAAGATTGTTATTTTTTTGCGTGCGGACGATTTGACAGGTCATACTGCCATTACTGGTGCGGTGAGTCCGCGTGGCTTGATGTCGTGAGTGGGAACGGCACGGACAGGAGCTTGTGGCTGTCACAGGAGTCGCTACTTCTGCCATTCGGGGTAGACTGAATTTTGGGCGTGCACGTACTGCTAATGCAATCTTTCACCATGTATCGGGCCACACTACCAACAGTTAGTTTCAAGCAAATCCGAGAAGATGGCGTCCGCTCGCAATCATCATGAGGAGCGCTCTCTCCTAAAGAATTCTGGGAACAGTTCAGATTCCTCTAGCGACATGGAGGAAGGTTTCGCTACCAGTGGATCTGTGCAGCAGCCGGCAACTCGCCCGCGAGGTAGGCGAGCGGCCAACAATTTGGAGCAAAAAATCACGATTCCAGAAGATGATAGAGAGCAGGTGTTCTCGTTTCGCAAGCTATGGGCATTCACAGGGCCCGGATTTCTGATGAGCATCGCCTATCTTGACCCAGGGAATATCGAGTCCGACATGCAGTCTGGCGGTGCTGCCGGATTTCACCTGCTATGGTTGCTGTTCACTGCCACGTGCATGGGTCTGTTGCTGCAGCGCCTAGCAGCAAGACTGGGTGTTACTAGCGGGCAACATCTAGCAGAACTGTGCAGACAACAGTATCCCCGTGTACCACGTATTGTCCTCTGGCTCATGATCGAGCTGGCCATTGTCGGATCCGACATGCAAGAAGTCATCGGAACGGCCATTGCCTATTCGTTGCTTAGCAACGGCAAAATCCCGTTGTATGCAGGTGTGCTGATCACCATTGCCGATACATTCCTGTTCTTGTTTCTGGACAACTACGGTCTGCGCAAGTTGGAGGTATTCTTCTGCACGCTGATCACCATCATGGCGGTGACGTTTGGTTACGAGTATATTGTAGCAGCACCTAACCAGGCAGAGGTGATGAAGGGCATGGTCATACCATGGTGTTCGCACTGTGACAGCGCTGCTATCCAGCAAGCCGTGGGCATCATCGGTGCCGTCATCATGCCGCATAACTTCTACCTTCACTCCGCGCTGGTGCGCAGCCGTGACGTCGATCGGTCGTCGGCCAAGAAAGTCAAGGAGGCCAACTTCTACTTCTTCATCGAGTCGGCCATCGCGCTCTTGGTGTCCTTTGTCATCAACCTGTTTGTAGTGTGTGTGTTTGCTGAGACTTTCTTCAACGTACCAGCCATGACAATCATCGAGGAATACAACTGCACTGCCCTTGGCAATGCTTCCAGCTTCAGCAACACTAGCTCCTTTGATCTGGACTTGCGCAAGGGAGGGATCTTCTTGGGTTGTCGTTTTGGCGATGTAGCCAAGTACATATGGGCAGTAGGTATACTGGCGGCCGGCCAGAGTTCTACCATGACTGGTACGTATGCTGGGCAGTTTGCCATGGAAGGGTTTCTGAACATCAGCTGGAGTCGCTGGAAGCGTGTGCTCCTGACCAGGTCTATAGCAATTGCACCGACATTGTTCGTTGCCGTCTCGACGGGAATCGACGATCTCACTGGCTTGAACGACTGGCTGAATGTCCTGCAATCCATTCTTCTACCGTTTGCCGTGCTCCCTGTACTGCACTTTGCCTCTAGCAAGGCTGTGATGCGTGAGTTTAGAGCGGGTCTTCCTATGCAGATTGCCATGTGGATGATGGCCATCCTGGTGATGGGAATCAATGTCTACTTTACGTTTAGCTTCCTGCATGGCCTGTATGGCACGCTTCCGTCAACCGGTGCACGTGTCGGGGTCATCATGGGCGTGGGTATTTTCTTTGCCATCTACACTGGTTTAGTAGTGTACCTAGTGCTGTCTATAATTTCACTCAAGTCGCCACGTCTGCAAGACAGGCTTGGCCAGACGACCGATATGTATGAAGTCCTGCACGGCTTCTTGGGATTGTCCGATTCCGAGGACGGAGAGTCGGCGACAGAGCTGGTGCAGTCGGATCGCGGATCTGACGACTGACGGCACCGCGCGCCCTGTCATTTGTTACGCTGCAGCACTGTGACGTGTTTGTATCACGCTTTGCCGTGTGCGGTCCTAGTCTGGGAAGTGCTTAGCTGCCGAGTACTTGGTATGCTGAGCTGGTTTCCAGGCTGCATGAGATCAAAGTTATTCTGTGTGATAATTGCAAGTTAATTTATTTTCTCCTTCGACTGACAATGCATGTGTCCGAAGTATGCTGACTGCAATATTTTCAATTGCCTTTGCAGTATAATTCATCCATCTCTCCTTACTCTTCTTCTCCGTGCGCTCTCACTTTATTAGTATAATTGATGTTCAGTTTGGTCAATTAGGGTTCTGAATACAAGACATCGGAATCCCACGCTAGCATTTTTGAACTTCACCAATCCGGATATGTGGAAGGTGGAATATTTTGATTTTCTTACCCTGATAATCATGATGTTGCCATTATTATTAATTTTGTTTGGCTTTTTTACATGGTACATGCTCACTGAACTTGGTATCCAATTCTTGTTGTTGCATGTGTTGTTGCAGTCCAAGATGGTAATAGGGAATGGCGTCATGCCTGTAACCAGTGTTTTTAAGAGCTTTGTAGTTCAATTCATGCTAAGAAGAGTATTATGCTCGTATGTACTCTTGATACCCTTTTCTATTCCCTCAACTACTGAGTACTCTTGATAATTAATGATTTTTAACACACTCTAGTGCATTGATTTATACATGTACTTTGAAGCTATCATCGAGTTTAGATTTTGCTATTCGAGGATTCAGTTATTTGCATTATGTTTTGGATTTCGACAAGCCAGTCGGCTAGTGGTGCTTTGAAGCAGAATGAATTATTATGTTGTACATCTGATGGCAATCAGTCTGTGGCATATGATGGCTGTCACATGTGACGGCGAGATTCTCTCTCCTCTCTCATCTCTCGCGTGCTCTCTCTCTGTCTCTCTCCCTCCGTCTCTCTCTCTCTCTCTCTTTCTCTCTCTCTCTCTCTCTCTCTCTCTCTCTCTCTCTCTCTCTCTCTCTCTCTCTCTCTCTCTCTCTTCTCTCTCTCTCTCTCTCTCTCTCTTTCTGTCTCTCTGTCTCTCTCTCTGTCTCTCTCTCTGTCTCTGTCTCTGTCTCTCTCTCTCTCTCTTTCTCTCTCTCTCTCTCTCTCTCTCTCTCTCTCTCTCTCTCTCTCTCTCTCTCTCTCTCTCTCTCTCTCTCTCTCTCTCTCTCTCTCTCTCTCTCTCTCTCTCTCTCTCTCTCTCTCTCTCTCTCTCTCCCTCTCTCCCTCTCTCCCCTCTTCTCCCTCTCTTCCCTCTCTTCCTCTCTCTCTCTCTC